GGAAATAGCCAACAAATGAAAGAAATGTGGCCTAAATTAAGGTTTAAATGGGAACCGTGATTCACGGAACTAAATATTTTTAAACGAAAGTAAATAAATATCTAAAATTATAACAATTAAATAAGCATTTTGAAAAATTAGTTGTTTTTCATAAATTCACCAATTAGCCCATATTAATCAATCGTATTACAGGTAACTTTGTAAGTTTACTTGATAAACAAATGCTTTAAAGTATACACACAGACGAAAATAACCCACCGCTTTTGCTTGCTTATTAGCACCTAAAACAAGATCCCGGAGCCGATGATCTAAGCAAGATGATCCAGGCCACCGTAGCTGAGGTATGCGGTGACCCAAAGCGGATTCGATTGCCTTTAGTCTAGTGACCGAGTAAGGCGTCACTAAAGAAATAGCTCTACCGGGTCGGCCCGCACGTGCTGTTCTACCAACCCGATGGATATATGACTTCAAGGCTTCCGACCATGTGATGCCAGTTGGAACATCAAAATTAATAACCAAATCAACATCAGCGATATCAAGGCCCCTAAAAGAAAGAAAAATAGAGCCCAAAGACAAGTTACATTGTATTTTTTCAAATACGGACGTAATAAATTCAAATTAATCCCAGAATATGGCCGTGCAGGCGAGGTTTGATGTTTAAAATTTCTGAGAACATATTTAGCCACCGTATGAAAAATATTTGATAGTTGAATATGATGGTGCAAACATCCCATTGATGTTGGCATACTTACTCTTCTATAAGAAAAGGATGGCAGGAGGTACTGGTAAATGTTAAGTTAATGTTTAATAGTGATATTGCCTATAATAAAGAAATATTGTCAGAAAAGCATTTTATTAAAAAATTATTTTAAAAAGTGACCAGTGATGCTCTTAATCATTATTCTGGCTATTTCTAAAACTAATCAAGAAATGTATGAAAATGGAGTAGATAAAAAATGTATTTCGTACAAGTATATATAGGTTCTAGACTGATTATACTAACCTAGCAGCCAGATCCGTTGCAACTAGAATAGCCGTTTGCCCCGAACGGAACTGAGTTAAAGCTATCTGGCGATTATCTTGACTCATTAAGCCGTTTAATGCTACGGCCTTGGAGTCAATTAGGTTATGTTGTCGGAGCTCATTCAACATAGAAGTCAATCTCAGAGATTCACGGCCTGTTTC